TTAGTTTACTCCTGAGGACTTGCTGATTTAGCCATACGCTAAAATCATTTGGATTTAATTTTTTAATGTATTTTCTTTCAGTTCCTTTGCTATTTAATTCCTCCTGTTGATGGCTAGATAATTTCTGTGCTTTGCCGTCTGTCCTACGCATTTGACAATTCCCTGGTGAGGTCCTGGTAACTTTTTATGGTGACTATTGGTTTTGCTGTGCTCACCTGAGGAAATAAAGCTTATGCAGTCATGCTGTTCTCCTGCCTAGAAGACTGACTGTGCTACCCTAACGGTGTTTGAACCTGTTGACCAATGTCAAACAGACTTAACAGGGTGGTAGGGCTCTTGGAGAGATTTGGATTGTAAAATTGAGCAGGTGAGTAAAAATGCTAACTGTGCCTTCTGCAGTGGAGAAGAGTGGAGATGTGTTACGCTTGACCTTAGACACAAGTGAATCTAGACAGGGTCCTCCTGTGTGTGCCATAGCTGCAGTAAAAGCTTTAGTCAGAGCTCCTTCCTCCTTAGGCAATGACGAATCCATCCACAACATGCAAACCCACAGAGAAAAGAGCGTCCTTAGTTCCCCCGTTCATAGAGGTCTTCTCCAAGCTTACTCTGGAGCATGGGAACACACCAACTGGCTACCAGTTTGAGGCTTGCTATTTATTGGAAGAATACATCAGATTCCTCCCATTATATAAAATGGTTTCCCTGGACATGTCACACCTCTTGTTGGCTTTGCTGTGGAGTCAGGTAACACCGAAGTTCAAAGAGGCAGAAGTCTTTGCAGCAGCAAAAGATACCCGAGTCCTGGCAGACTGAATGTTGCCCTCTTGAAATGGTAGAGAAGGTGCTTGTTCAGTAGTAGCCCATGATTTTTCACAGCTACTCCTGAAAGCCATCTCACCTTCTCCTGGATTCTGGACGCAAATGCATTTTGTCTCATTAAGAAATACAGTGCAAAAGCACTTTTGTAACATCTACTGTGATTCAGTCTCTCCTCAAAACCAGTAAGAAACATTGCCACGGTATGCTAATCTGCACAGCATTACAGCAGGTCAAAAGGGTTGTCGTAGCAGAGCTTAAGAGTGAAAAGTGTTGGATTGATGGTTGCTGTAAATGGGCTTGAATAAAGCAGAGGCTGTTCCTGAACCTACAAGGGCCTCGGACAGCATCAGTGCTGTGATGGGATCCTTGCAGAACTGCCGAGGCTTTAAACTTTCAGGTTTACTAAACTGATATAATTTGCAAAGGAATGTTCTGTGCTTATCTGAAAGGGGAGTCATGTTTTGGCCTAAAACTAGAAATTGTTTTGGGATGCTTGTAGGAGTGAGTCCTGTCAGACTGGGTCAGTGCTCCATGGACATAAACTTCTTCCTGTAATCTTTTATTTTTACATAAAACATTTCTTTTACATGTATATTAATACCTATTTTTCATGTCTGTATTTTCAAGTATTTAGTTTATAAGTAGCTTCCAGTTGCGAGTGTAGGTGTCTCATTTGATATCTGCAGTAATAGGCATCAAAATGTGTACTGAGAGGTATGGCTGTGAAACCATGAATGTTGAGAGACCCGTATTAGCATCATTATCACTGAAGGTCCTGGTCCCATCCTTGGTTCATAGCAGTGCAAAACAGATCTCAGAAATGAGTTTGGAGGTGGCAGGCTGGTTCTCCAGTTAGTCCATGTGGTATGGGAGACATGGGGATGCATTCGTGGGAACAATAGGAGCTGTCTTTAGGCATGTCTGACTGAAGTGTGTTGCTCCTTGTAAGGTGTTTGTGCTTCTAGTGTACCTGAGATGAGTGCGTGTGTCGTCTGCCTACTCACCTCTTGGTTTTATGGAAATATATATGAACATGTAGGAAATACTAGCACATTTTACGTGTCTGTAGACAGAAAGGTAAGTTGTACGAAGTGTGTTATTGGCAGCACTGCAAATGATAGGAAGGTGTAAAAACCACAGGAGACTTTTTCCCATCCATCTGTGCTGTGATGATTTTGAGGACTTATCTAGGTGTTGTATGTTCTAATTCAACATTTGTGAAACCCCCAAATTTAGTTATAGATTTACTTTGGAGAAATCATTTATGAAAACTTTAGGATTTTTTGGTTAAAATGTTGTTTGAAGCCTAAATGAAGATTTTCATTGTCATGTTTTGAAAACATGAGTGTGAAAGGTGGGAAGGGAGGATGCTCATCCCTGTTTCCAGCATGAAGCAAGAGAAGGTAGTTATCTAGGCCTTTGTTCCTGTAATTTCTTAGTTTCTGTGGCTACAAGTCCTGTAATTCAAGCTGTCCTCAGTGCCGCCGTGGTCTTTGTACAAGAGCTGATCTTACATTCCATATGAGTTACAATGCAGCAAGTGAAGAGCTGAGTTTCAGGCTGTAATTCTGAATTTCTTGCACTCTTACAGGTTTTAATTTGGTTTCATGTTATTTGCAGAAATTTTTTTGTGATTTAATTGAGTAGTCAGTGTGAATTTTGTGGTGTTCATGTGCATGCAAGGGAGAAGGAGATTTTCTAAGTGTTCACATGGACATAAACAGGTGGGTTTCCAGCAGAGACATTTGCATTTGAAAACCTGCTCTAAACGGGCAGGGCTTTCCCAGGAGAAGCAGCACCAGCAGTGAAATGCAGCGATCGATCAGCATAGAATTGTGTGAGCATTTGATGGGCAAAATGTTGTGGTATAAAGACAGGGCCCAAGAATAAGCTCTTTGTGGCTTTGTTTCATTCCTGAAAACTGTGACTGAGAGGCTTTTATCATTTAAAAAAAAAATTAATCAGCCACATTTTGGCTAACCTGGAAAACATCACAAGATCCTTTGCAACATTCTAAGTGCTGTTTCTTTAATCCAATTTTGATACTAAAAAAAAAATATAATGTTTTTCATTTCTGTCTGCTTATATTTCGCCAACTCTAAAAGTAAAGTAATATCTGAACCACTCCTTTCAGTCGCAGAGCTGAAAGCGTGTAATTTGGTGTACATAATGATAAACTCTTTCTTTCAAGCAGCTTGCATTTGCTGTGTTTTCTTTCTTTCCTAATTTTAACTAAGGAAAACATTCCCTTACTTATCACAACACTTCTGTTACATGCCTCGTTTTTCGGGCCAAGTTCCTTATGGTATTTGGAGTTTATTTTAATTCTTAATCAAATGAGCTGTCCAAGAAATTCATCTGAAAAAACATATATAATAAATGTTCAAATACACACCAATGGGGACACCTGGTGGAGAAACTACGAGTTGCCCAGGATGCCCTGCATTAAACCCATGAATGGGTGAGCATGAGTTAGCTCATTAGTGAGATGACTGTGAGTATTTTTAACTACAGCAGCTGCGAGATAACTCTCATTAGTTTACCTGCCTGCTGCTGATGGCTCCCTGGAAGCATCCTGCACTTGCTGCTGGCCAAGAGTACGTGCACGCGGTCGTGGTGGTGCTGGTGCACACTGGGTGGCGTGCATCTGATTCCTCAGTGTCTGTTGTTTAATGTGACTGGGGACAAAGATGCAATTACTGGCAAATGCCATCTCTCTCTTGCCACTGCAGAAGCTGCCATGTTCAAGGATTCTCAGATAAGCCCTACAGATACTTATAGAGATGTGTATTTGGAAGGTGATGTGGGAAGGTTAGGTGAAGATCTGGGACCACGTCTCCTTGTAGCTGCAGGGCAGAGAACACTCCTCTGCATTGGATCCTGCTCTGTATCATGTGAGATGCTCCAGTCTTGACAGACAGCAGCTCAGGTAACCACTAACATTTTCCGGGCTGCAGTGGAAGTCCTAGTCCTCCTCCAGCGCACAATGCCTTCCTTTCCACACTCCTGTAAGAGTGGCCTTGGGAGAGACCACAGTGAGGACAGCAGCCCAGACTGGCTTCATTAATAAGCTTGGTCAGGAAGAGGGGTGCTGTGCTTGCCACTGACTTTGGAAGCAGGCAGGAGGTACTTGGTTCATCCCTGGGGCACTACACCTATGTCAAAAGCTCTACCTGGAGTGTGACAAGCACAAGACCCGAGGACAAGGCAGTTGGCTAGGCAGCGTTATTGCACACATGCTCTAGGAACTGTGTGCAAATGGAGCATGCTTTAATTGGTGTGAAAGTGGTCGTGGTTCATTGTTTTACTTCTAGGTCACTCAGGAAGCAAGCATTAGCCTTTCCTGTGATGGGGCAGCAACATACAGATGGGTTCTGGTGTGCCTTCTGGCATGCACCAGCTGTGGAACATGGGATTATCTGGGGGTTTTGTCTTCCTAAGTAGGAGAGGAGGAGAAGAAAGGAATGCTTACAGTTGTGAAGAGGGAAGGATAATTTCTGGCTCTTTGTTTTGATGCAGTCTATTCTGACATAGGGTGAGATTTATAGCCTACTGGTTTTCTCATTGTTTGGGAAAGAAGGAACATATTAATTATAATTCTGCACCAGAGCCACCAGACAATTGGGAGAGAAAGTGACTTTGACTTAGACCATCACAAGTTGGGCAGCAGACTGTGGATTTTTGTTAGATATAGCAGAGTATTATGTGCGTTTAATTCATATTTCAGAATCTTTTCTCTGTGGCAAATCAGAGCTGCATATTAAGTATGAATTGCTGTCCCATAGGCATCCACTATGACCTGCTGACTCTGCACCCTCTCACAAAACGAGACTAATAGTAAATGAGAGAGAAGCTAATTTTATTTGTTGGTATTCCATTCCTGTGTTGGGATTAATATCAAAGCAGGACACCATTTTTTGCCACAGAACTCGAGAGGGCAATTTTAAAGTCAGTGCTTGAATTCAGATGGCTCAGTGAGACCCCTTTCCTGCTTCAGGTGCTTCAGCTGGCTCAGAGAGTCAGCAGAGCTGGCTGGAGGCAGTCATCATGAATAGCCACCAGTGACTGTCTTGGTCCAGACCAGAGGTCCCTGCCTGACAGCGGTCAGGAGCAGATGCTAACAGAAGGAGTATTCTAGCAGACTTTACGGACTAAATATTTCTTGTTTCTCTTCCTTACAGAAAACACCTTCTGCAGCGGTGACCATGTATCGTGGCACAGCCCTTTGGACAACAGCGAATCTAGAATCCAGCATATGTTACTGACAGAAGACCCTCAGATGCAGCCAGTGCAGACTCCTTTTGGGGTCGTTACTTTCCTACAGGTATGACCCAGCAATGATGGCTCTGACTGTCACCTCCTGAGAGTGGAATGTGCCTAACATTGCATTTTGTTTAGCTCTGACAAGTCAGATGCTTATTATCCTGTCTTCCACCTTTCTTCCTTATTTGATTACCGTGGATCTCATCTCTGAGTTGTTACTCTGGAGGTAGTAAGCATTTTACCAGGCAATGGCACACTCAACTCTCAAGATAGAGGTCTGTCTGATGGAGAAAATGTTTACGCCGTGAAACAGACCTTCAGTTGAATATTACATTACTGCCCTGAAATTTCAAACATGAACATGGGGAAAAAAGCTGAGAGAAACACTTTTAGAAAGTAATGTAGAGCTAAATTCAAATTAATTCTATGACAGTATCGGTAAGTGATCCTCTGGTTTGAGTTCCAGGAAAAGATGTGTTTGGAGCAGGACTGAGAGTTGCTTTAGCATTATTTAATGGCAGAAATGTAGCTTACAGCATTGACACAAAGATTCTTTAGAGGCTAAGTGAGTTTTCCTGTATTGATCTACAGTTTAAGAAAGGTTCAGGTTTGCTTTGCAAAAGAAACATTTAAAAAATCCCTTGCGATTTAACCCTACTGTTCAGTGAGGGGAGCTTCCTTGGCCAAACAGGTTTGCTTGCTTTCCCGAAGTCCTTCTCAGTGAGAAGAGATATGTCTTAGATATGGGCTGCTTTGGACATTTTAAAATTGCAGATGGAGTTATTAACCTTAGTGAAAGAACTGGCGTAGTTTATACCAACTGCTGATTTCCCCCTGCTCTGAAAAAGCTTCCCTCCTGTGGGAAAACTCAGGTGTAAGGGGAAGCTCTGTTACCACAGACCTGCACAAGGCAACTGCTGTGCAAGGGAAAAGGCTTTCCTGAATTTTCTGAGGTGCCCAAATGTCTGTTTTATCAACAAGAAAGAGATGGGTGTGGGATTAATCAGTGAAAGGTGAATTGTGGGACCTGGAAGCAGAAATAGAGCGCCAAGCTAAGTAGGGTGATTCCTGGCTGACTCCCTAGTTAGTGCTGCATTAGTCCACATCTCTTCTTTAGTGACCAGCTGTCCTAGGTCAAAGGACAGTCAGCTTGTTGGATCCTGAGGCTCTTGGCCTCTAATCTTCCACAACGCATACAGTTGACTTGTTTTTCCCCTTTGTTTGATGCTTGTTGTTATGGATTTATTTTGACCCATGAGGATAAATGATTGTAAAAAGAAAAGAATGAACACAAAATAATTTCCTGTTTAGAGTTTTGCCGTTTGTATGTAATTAGTGAGTGAAAGCCCAGGGAGGGGTGTCCTGAAGCAAGGGTGATTCAGGCTGTTCATGGAGGAGAATGGGTGGGGATGAAGTGCATCTCCAAGGGCTGGGTCCTGAGAAAGTGAGCTCTGTAAGGGGCAGGGGAGGTAGGGTGTGCAGAACTGGGTACATGCTGACACTGATGGTTTTCCACACAGATCTCTATCAGTGCACACATGCGCTTGCGGCACAGGCACATCATGCACTTCTGCTTGCTGCTCTTCAGAACTTAGTTTTCAGTTTTCCTCTTTTCTGATAAAACATCAGTTGAACAGATTTTGATCAAAAATCCAGTGTTGTTGGAAAAGGCTTAGGAGTATTGAGGAAGAAAATAGAAGGCCATGGCTGAAATAATTTCTCATCCCAAAGAGTGAATCATTGTGTCAAAGGCACAAGCCAGTGGTTGATGGATCAGGAAGAAACTGCCTTCCTCTATCAGCTGAAGGGTGTTTCACCCCTTCATTTGATGCGGCTGATCTCAGCTGCTGAGAGGGACGTCTGGTATTGCTCAGTGTGGCAGCTCCCATCCTGAAAAGCAAACACATCCTGCCTTGTACAGGAAGGCAGAAGTCTGCAATTGCCTGCAGTGACGAGTGGATTATGTGATGTGTAAGCAGCTTTACTTTATGGTGCCGGGTAAGATGTAACTAGTCAGCAAACTGAGCTGGTCAAGGATTTATGAGCACCAAAGCATTCCCTTGTGGCAGCAGGTCCCTTGTCTGATTGAAATTGCTGGTGCAGTATTGCATTTGCCCCTAGCAGTTGGCTGACAGAGCACTGTTTTGCATGTGCTCAGACCCTAACCTGTCCTGTCTTGTGTGGACTAGATTGAAGAGTGAGAACAGACTAGTGGATCTTCAGTAAACCCTGATTTGTCACGAGGCCCTCCTCATAGTTAAGTTCACACATGCCATGCAAGATTAAATGTTACGTGACCAGGGCACTTCATGTGGTAAATGTAGAGAGATCACATAAGGAATTGCAGAATCTCTCTGTTGTCTCAGGCTCCATTTGTCCTCGCTCATCTAGTTAGTTTAAAGAAATGGTGCTTCTCTGTATCTGCGCTCTTTGATCCAGCACCACGTTGCACATTTTCTCTACAGTTCTTGCATGGTTCCCATCCAGTTTAGTGTCTCTGTTTTCATTTACTCCAGATTGTTGGAGTTTGCACTGAGGAACTGCATGCGGCTCAGCAGTGGAACGGGCAGGGGATCTTGGAACTGCTTCGGACTGTCCCAGTGTAAGTGCTCATGTAGCTCCATATAGGGGAGCATTCCCGTAGAGAACAATTCAGTTGTTTGTTTTTATTAACAATTTTAAACTTGTTGATGGAACTTGTTTAATCCTGTGCTGTAGCAAGAGATGGGAATTCGTTGCAAATCTGTTCTCATGCACAGACACTTAGATGACAAATTAATGAATGTGGAAGTCCACATGTTCAGGGTGAAGTAGAATGAGGTCTTGAAAGCTTAATTTCCTTCCTCTTATGCCTGCAGCATTTTCTCATTGGTTCTTCCTGAGAGAGCTGGGATAACTTACTGGCGACCTCTCTGTGTAGAAAGAAAGGAAGGAGAGGGTCTGACTTACAGTGCCTAGCAAAGCTTGGGTACAGTCTGAAAGTGAGAAAGTCACTCTCAAACTGGCCCCACTCTTGGTGGGCCAATTTGCAGTAGCAGTGCTCATGCAAGTGAAGTTCGTTGTTATTTCTCCCGTGGCAAAACAAAGATGTTGTTGGGTTAAGGAGGAGGTGGGTTTTAAATGTTAAATGATAGGTTGATGCCTTATTTGCTGCTAGGTTGCAGCTAAACTTTTTTTGGCTTACAGGTGTTTTGTTTAAATATTTTTCTCTTATATTTAGTGGAAATTATTGCTGTGTGATGGTAGCTCAAAAGATTTTTTTAAACAAAATGGTTATGAATATGTGTTCCTGGGCACAATAGTACACTCTCTAAGGTCACAATGGCCATTGATTGATTATTTGGAAGAGATCAGCCTTTCCTGCTGGATTTCTTAAACTTGAACTTTTCCCTTTTAGGCACAAGTGCAGATAATTCATGCAAATGCCCTAGAGTAGAGTGAATTTGTCCAGCTGCAAGCTTTGTTTCTGGGACCCCAAGACAATAAACACTGCCTGCAGCTCCCTTGTCTCCTCTAAGTCAATACAGATACAGCACCCCTTTCCTCAGTCTGCTCTCATGCTGGTTTTTGGCTTTTGTGCTGTGGTACAAGCACCTTTCCAAGGATAAAATGAAACCCAAATGTGCATGATTTGAAGGCAAAGCTGCAAACTTACTAAGCCGCTGATGTGGAGTCAGGGTAAAAGTCTCTTGCTTCAGTCCCTCACTGGGATGCAGGTGGCACCTCTGCAGTTAATAATTAACAGCTTCCAAAGTGATGTCAAAAAAGAGTGGCTATCGATGCATCTGAAAAGCTATAAAATATTAACTTTTATTGCTCCCACTCCAAGTGCTTTAGGGGACTGTAACACAGACAAGGCCAGAGGAGGGGGCTTTTGACTGCAATAACAAACTATCTCATGAAAAAATGAAAATTTTTATGGTAATTCCAAAAGGCTTCAGTTTTTACTTCAAATGAAAAGCACCATCTAAAGCTGACTTCTGCAGTCTGCCTGCACTGTGACCCAAAGTAAAGTCTCCGAGCAGTTCATCTTCGCAGTAATCTGTTTTCTATCACCTTTGTTTGGGAAACATCTCAACCCTTCTGGCTTTTATTGCTAATGAAAACAAAGATTTCCCTGAACCATCTAAGTACTTGACCATTAAGTACCAACTGGGCAAAATGTCTATTGTGAGGATATTTATCAGAGCAATAAGCTTTTTATCGTACTGAACGTGACTGCCGATCTCAGCAAAAAGTGCAGTCCTATTGGGACCCTGCTGCATCTTTAGACATGTAATAGAGGTATAAATCTCAACCCCATGCCTTGCCCATCTTTCTTAGACCTAGGCTACACTGGACTTCTCAGTCCCAATTCAGTTACCTGTAAGATTAAAACCCAGTTCAGTCTTGTATGAGTAAGTGGGTCCACACAGGGGACCTGTGTCAATCCTGACCGCTTTGCAAGCTTTGGTGGTGCCAGACACTAGGCAGGTAACAACTAGGTCATGGAAGGCTTTCATTATGTATTTAGGAAATGTAAAGGACAAATGCATGCTATGGGATGTATACACAACATAGAGGGGCTTCTAGGCTTGTTTTAAACTGTCTTGTGCTTCCTTCCAGTAAAGGTCCACTCTGAGGACTCTGTTGGGGAGTGCTAGCTAAAGTGCTTGTTTGGTTCATTACCTTTCTTTCTTTCTTTGTAGAGCTGGAGGCCCCTGGTTGATAACGGATATGCGAAGAGGAGAGACAATATTTGAGATTGATCCACATCTGCAAGTATGTCTTTAGTTAATAAAATGTCATGTCTTTTGTAGTAGTCGGGGAGAATTGGTTTAATGGTATAAAACAGTTCTATTATTTTCTGTAAAGGTGCTGTGATCTTCTCAATGTTTGCAGTAATCCTGGAAAAGTCTTAGAGACTCCCTTTGCCCTCTCAGGGTGGTTCAAGAGTGCACATGTCCAGCCTCAGGTGGATGGCAGCTCTAGGAAGAAATTTAGAGAAGGGAGACCAGGAAAGCAGAATCTCATATATGAGACAAATTGGTAAGATTTGGACTGCATGTTTTAGAAAGGAGGAAAATAGAAGAAGATAGAAGAACATAGAACAGTACAAGATTTAGAGATGACAGATCAGGAAATTCTTCCTTTGTTTTATATGCAAGCATAAGGAGATATAACATGCAGAAAACTCAAAACCAGCTAAGTAATATTTTTTCCCAGCAAATGTGACAGTCTAGGTCATTCGTGCAGGATGTCACTTGGGGCCAAGTAGTTAGTGTGGTCTGAGAAATAATGGGAAGCCAAAGTATCTCATGCAGTTGTTAATAATCCATGCAGAAAGATATATTAAACCTCCTTCTTCAGAGTTCAAGTTAATTTCTGAAGTTTAAAGACCAGAATAGGACCTCTATGGAGGTGTTACCGTCCCAGGGGCTACTGCTGATCCATGTGTTTGGGAGACGGTTCTGCATCCCTTCAGCAGAGTTATGGTACTGGAGTACATGGGTCCCAGGCAAATCCAGTGTGGTGCTGACCTTGTTTCAGTGAATCACTGAGTTTTTGCCTTTAACAGAGAACTTCTGGCTTAGCCTGGTAGGGCACGTGCATACGTGCACGTTTTGTACAAGCTATTGCATTTGCGTATGGTCTGCGTGTCTGTGTCTGATTACCCTCAGTTGCCTCACAGCATCTTTTATTTTGAAAGCTTAAGAACAAAACCAAATTCTACTTTTACTGTTTTTAAGGATTTGTTCATCTAAAATAACCCCAGTCTGAGACAAACCAAAAAAAAAAGTTCCACAGATGTCCCACAGTGTGGGAGCTAATACAACTGCAAGTCCTATAGAGTTTTTAGGCTCTTCAAAATTTTGCCCTCTCCCCTTCTGGAGGGTATTTGTCTATTCTCTGCACACTGGTGATTCCTAATGATAACAGGGTTTTCTTCAATTTACTGTAAATGAAAAGTAGCTCAGCTTACTGGAATCTGAGTCAGCCAAGGCAAGTTAAGGCAAATAAAGAGTACCTCTGCTTCAGCAGCGTGTCCTGCCACTGAAAGCTGCTATGTCTGTGGTCTTTCCGGACTTCCTCGCATTGAAGACATTCCTGTTTCTGTTCTCTCTTGCCCTTGCAGTAGTGCGTGTGCGCAGGTGTGTGTGTACCTCCTTCCTGCTCTGCTGCCGCAGCCCCTGGGGGTTCACAGGGCGAAACCTGCTGCTGCGGCGCTGAGTCCCGCAAAGAGCCTTTGCTGAGTGCGGGGAGCAAGGCTGGGCTGGGCTGCATTCAGCCACGTCGTGCGCCTCCTGCTCTAATTAGTGGGAAAAGGATAAAGTGCCATTCGCTTGGCATTTTCTTCGTGGTGGTAGAAGGGTGTGTGAGAGCTGAAAGGCAGCAGTGGAAGATAGGTGGAGGGGAGGGAGGGAGGGAGCAGGCAGAGGAAACGCACGACTTTCCTGGGAGCAGGCAAGCATGTTGCCTGCCTGGGAAGCAGGCAGAGCTTGTTTTGAGGCTGCATTGTCTCTTGTGGGAATTGGTTGAGGCCTAAACCCAGCCCTGGCAGCGGCAGCTGTACTTTCTGTTCAAAGTTGCCGAGAATGGATCCCAACTAAGATGTCATCCTAGGATGTCGGCAATTAACGCTGTGGCAACGCTGGCTGTTTTCTGTTCAGCCAGGCTTCCCTGTAGGCCATTCAGATTTCCCTGGCAGCACTGTCAAACAATCCTTGTCAGTCCCCATCTCTGCACTGATTCTCAGTGCTTTGCTTCTGTTTTAGCAGATCTCAGAAGAGAATAAAGCTGATTTGAATTTCCTGAGTTGTGGTTGCTGCTCTGCAGGTCACGCTGCAGTGCTCTGACTCGTTTAGAAAGGGATCAATGACTTATAAGAGCCTCAGAGCATCCCTCCCACATGCTGAGAGGAAAATGGGACAGAAACATCCTTTCTCTGAGGAAGGAAAAAGCTGAACCTCCTTTGCCCTGGGCTCCTCCAACCTCCTGCTCAGGCTGCCGTTTCAAGGGAGGAAGAACAGCCCTTCAGTCCAGGCACATCTTTGCTGGCTAACGATGGAGTAAAGCTGTGCATTGCCCCAGCTGCGAGTCTGCACTGGTTAAGGTTTTTTGGGTTTTTTCCCCCCTTCAACATTACTACTCACAAATGTTATAAAACAGGCATGCAAATTAGGCTGCCTTAGGCCAGCTCATTTCCATCAGCCCCCCTCGGTCTCCAAGGGATGCCAAGAGAGCAGCACTTCTTCCCCTGAGGAAGTGCTCTGCAAACCAGCTGAGATGCAGATGACGAGTCCCTTTCCCCCTCCCCAAGGCTCTGCACACCGACCGGAGGCCCCGACTGAGCCTGTGAGCAGGGGCCCTGGCTGCAGGGGTGGAGAAGCATGTCCCACCAGAGCCTCTGCCCAATGGAGTCCTCAGGGCCCTCTGGGCTCTTCTCCTGCCTGCTCAAGGGCAAGTCTGGTGGCTCTCCCATGCTTCCCCAGTTACTGGAATGAAAAATAACTGTGCTGACAAGTTAAACCTCCCCATGCCAGCTGATTTGGGTCCTCACAGAGTGCTGTGGAGGGCTCCCAAAGGAGCCATGTGCTAAATCTCACTTAGAGCATCATTTGCATATGTAGGATCGGATGTATTTTTTTTCTTTTTCCACAACTTCTATTTCTGGGTGAAACAACTAATTTTATGTTTAGGATATAACAAAAGAAAATCCCAGCAGATTTATTATTTCTCAGCTTTTCCCATTACGTTTTCATAGAAGCCAGTTTCCCCTGACGCCGGAGGAAGATCCCAACAAGTAGTCGTCTTTCAAAGAGAGAGGCAGAAGGAAGGCAGTCTCTTGAATGCTTAAATCTAAGTCAGGACTGCTCTGGACCTGCCCCCAGCCACAGGCTTCTGCCTCTGCTCTTGGGCCAAAGAGCCAGTTTAGGGAGGTGATCCAGCTGGAAAAAAAAAAAAGAGTTGGCTCAAGGGAAGGGGTAGGAGCACATGGAAGAGGGTGGGACTGCAGCCACTGCGAATTACATCAGCTTAAACTGCTGTGTAACCACACCCTGAGTGCTTGTGCTTATCTTTGAGCTGCTCAAACCTCTTTTGAATGGTCACAAGAACAGGCAGTGCTCTTTCTAGGGCGCAGCGTGTGCAGCTGGGCAAGGGGAGGAATGCATGCGGGTTTTAGCCTGGAAACTGCTTCTTAGGGAATAGATTTTGCAAAGCGCTGGATGCTCCCATGGTCTCTTGACTCCAGTGGCAAGGTCAAACTGGAGGGTAGTAATAACAAGCGGAGAGATGTGCTCCCATTGTGCTAACACAGCTCTGCTCTTTGCTGAAATCTTCAAAGTTTCTGTCCCGCAAGTGGTGGGACTTGCCACCTATTCTGAGGTGACCCAGATCTAAGCAGTGAGATGGAGATCTTGCTAGTGCAACTGAGCAGTACCAGAAGTGACACTCCTTCAGAAGAGGGGAAAACGAGCCCGGTTGATTCAGTGCCAGGGGAGAGGTGACAGCGGTAAGAACAGCCCTTCCTTCGTGTAGCTCAGCCCTGAGTTTGTTCAGCTCAACATTACCCCCTTGTGGGACATAGGTGGAAATTCAAACTAATGCCAGTTCCCCTAGCAGGTAGGTGTCCTGTGGAGGTTTTGGCTGTAGCTTAGGGCAGTCTTGCTGGCAACAGACACATGTCTCCTTGGGAAAATGCATGGTGTCTGAGAGTATCCAGCTGCTTGTGGTTGGTGTGCAACGCCTTCCTAGACCCAAATGGTGGTTACATGCTTGGAAAGCCCAACTTGCAAGAGAGGGAGTTTGTGTATTTTGCCAATAGAGGAAGCTATGCAAAAGCTTTGACATTGCACACAGATCTGTGTCTCCTTGCACGTTTGTCCTTTACTGAACACCCCAGCACATTGAAAAGCAGTGGTTGTCCAGGCAGTTTGCAAATGATAAACTCTCATGTATGATGAGTCTGTCTGTGAGCTGTTTTCATTGTGGGACTCCTTGGTAAGTTTGGAAAGGGATCTTAAGTTAGTTATTCAGGAGTTTGTTATCATTGACATATAATACGTAGACTGCCAAGCTGTGCTTCATACAGGTGTATACACTGTAGTGTCATAAATACTTTGAGTTGGTGTAAACTGGAGCTAGCACTGAAAGAGGCAACTCTATATACCCCAGGCTGCTGATTTCCAGCTCTGTCTTTCCCTGCTTTGTGCCTGCCGGGGCCACCTAGTAAAGCAGTGGGGAAGGGGTAGGAGTTCAGACCAACCTGCTATGGAAAAGTTCAGGTTCAGTTCAGACCAGCTCCCTGATTTGGCTCAATGGACCCTTAGCTGATATGTCAAAGCACAGGGGCCGGAGAGTGGAAACTGGCTGCGAAGGGGAGTTATGCAGGAGCTGCTGAAGGTTGGGTTGAGCCAGGGTGGGTTCCAGCTCAGGTTCAAGCCACACCCAAAAAAGTCTTGGGGTTTTGGATCTTTTCAAGCAGGAGAGAGTTGACAAAGGGATTGAGACAGATGGCTCAAACCTGAGTGGAGTGAGTGCCAAATGTGCCTGGGATGATCTCAGCCGGCCCCCGGAGGATGACGAGGACAGCAGGAGCATTTGCATTGGGACCCAGCCGCGGCGGCTCTCTGGGAAAGGTAAGAGGTCCTGGGCTGAGTTGCTGTTATGGCCTTTTGGCTTGTTTTCTGATGGGTCTGGGCAGTGGGCTGAATCACGCAGCATCTCGGGGTTTATAACAAACACCACAGTTACTGGAAGGCTCAGTATGTCTCAGGGGAACGAAATGAATTTTGGTGTGGCCTCTTGAGGAAGGCAGGAGAGAGGAAAAGAGATCTTTGCATTGTTTTGTCTAAATGTTTTTTTCAGTTTTTAGGCTATTTCTAATCTAAATCTGCAGAGTTAAACTGAGCGCTGGGTGAAACTAGGACTGTAAACACCTGCAAGGTGAAGCAACAGCATTTTCCCAGGCTGCGTTTCCTTATTAACATTGTCACTTCCTGGGTGGCAAGTTGGACTGACACTGGACGTTGCTGTAGCTGAACTCAAGTGATTCTTGCAGACACGGAACTCTGGAAAGAAGAAATAAAATACAGTGCAGTTCCCCTTTGCAGTGAGATGCCATCTCAGGGTACAGATCTCATAGCCATTACACATGCTTGAAATTATTCATGTTACCTTTCAAGTGGTGAAGCAACGTAAAATTTGAGGGCTTGAGATTTCCTGGAACTAACAATGATTTCCACAGGAATGGTATCTTACTTGGTTTTAAGTCCATGGTAAAAAAAAAATATTTAAATGCATATAGGGTTCCTTCTGGCTTCTGTGCAAATGTTTTGAACTGCACTGGATCTAAAAAAGCTATTTTCCCTCAGTCCTGCAAATGAAAAGCCCAAGGCAGGTATACATGGTGATATTTGTATATCCTTCAAAAGATTTTGAAATAATTTGGATATTTTTTTCTCTACCCGATTCTCACATTTGTCAAAAAAAAAAAAAAAAACAAAACAGGAAACTTCTAAGAAAGGTAGGAAAGCATCCTATTAAAGTATTCGGCCATTAGACATTATAGGAAAATGAAAAAGTAAAAAGACTGCATCTGAACTGCATAATTTGCAGTTTATTTTCAAATGTGAGCTTGAGGCTAAAGTTTGCCCTGCATAAAATTCCTTTCTTTTGTGAACCTTGTTGTAAATTAATCAACAGATTTGCAAAGCCAATTGCAAAAACTCAGGAACCTTCTTGCACTTGTTTGGTAAAGGAACAAATTCCTGTTATGCCTAATGGGAAAAATGACTTCCAGCACAAAGGCTGGAAGTGTCAGGAGGTTCTGTGAGAGCTGCAGAAACAGCAAACACCTCATTTATGAAAGGATACAGAACTACTCAGAACTTCCTCATTAGGAGGGCTCAGTACCAAAGGTTCCAGCTGTCCTTGCCTGACATAACATCGCAGCCCAAACCAAGAGAATTCAAGCTGACTTTATAAAGTGAAATAACTCCTAAGGTGCAGGAAGAGCTGTTAAGAATTCACCCTTAGCATCTCTTTCTGTAGGGGAAGAGTTTAGATGAAACACACCATAGAGTCAGGCCTTTAAAAAAAAAAAAAAAGCCAATATCTCCTTGTGTCTGTGATGTTTCTGGGGACTCTAAATCATGTTAAAAAAAAAATTCTCTTTGCAGATACAGAGCAAATCAGGGAGACTTTGCGGAGAGGGCTTGAGATTAACAGCAAACCTGTTCTACCTCCGATAAATGCACAAAGACAGAACGGGTTGAACCACGACCGAGCACCGTAAGTTTCACCCTGCACACTCAGATGGTGGGAGGAGGGAGGCTAAAGAGCTCAGCGTGGAAAACAAAGTTAAAGCTGGGTGGGAAAAGACTTGGCAAGGGGAGAGGAAGACTAGCAGCAAATACTTGCAAAGTGCAAGGATAGAGGGAGAAGAGGAGTTCAGGTTGGGTTAATGGGCTAGTACTCAGGAGGACAGATTTTGAGAGGGGTTTTGGACAACCCTTGCTAATGCAGAGTGGCTCTGGCTGTGTTCTGTAGAACCTGCTGTTCACAGTGTATGGTGTTTGAAATCAGACTGGACTGAGCCCTATAAAATGTACTGTGGTGAACAGTGCTATGGTATCCAAAGAGCTAGGTGGCATAGATGAGCGTTTGCTGATATTTTTGCCTGAGCATTTTGTTTCCAAGCTCATAATTACAAACATTTTGGTTAAAATACTAATTTTTTTATTTTTTTAAGTGACACTGATCTTGCCTTGCTTAAGCAGGCAGGTACTGGCAGTAATTACATGCCAATACCACCCTGGTCTCTAATAGTCTGTAGAGTAACAGGTGATTTAAGTGGGACTACATGGGCCTGTAGATCTCTCCTCATTTGTAGCTTTTTACTTCAGTGAATCTATAGGAAATTACCTGTGGTTTCAAGCCATCTGCAGTATCTGCACTTCTGTCTTTTTGGGTTTCTCCCCTTCCCCTCTTAGGCTTATTTCAGTTGCTAGTTAAATGTCTTCCCATCAGTTTTAATGTTTTCACCTAAATGATACAGAAAGGCATGCATCTTTGCTGCAGTCTTTCATCTTGGTATTTCCTTTGGTTTCCTAGTCTCCAATGAACATTTGTGCTTTCTTATTCCAAGAGTAAAGATCATCATGAAATCAGCTCTTTCCTGTAGTGCCAGGCAGGGACAACATGCTGCTCTGTTTCTTTCTTAATTCAAGCATTTCATGAGAAAAATATTCCTCATACTTGGTTAGGACCCTGATGTCCTTTCTTGTTCTGTTTTGTGGGTGACTTCTGATTTGCCTTACGTATGAATGTTTCTGAGTTGCCTAATCCTTTGGGGGAGGTGGTATGTCAATTGCTGATGCTGTGTACTAATAAGTAGTATGAGATATTGGTGCTTATTTTAAAAAAAAAAAAAATCTCAAGTGGCTTTATTATTGCTTTGGGAATAATCTTACTTTTGCTATATAGTAATTATATGGAGCCAGATTCTGACCTGACTCAGATTTTGAGTAGTACTTCCCTGCCTGGAGGTTGGTCCCGTTGGCCCTGCTGAAAAAAAAAAATTATACCATCTGATTTGCACAAATCACACCCAGCCTTGGAAGGCTCAAAAGTATTGAGCAAGATTTATCACAGATGCTGGGCTCCTGCATGAATCTGCATGCCCAGTAAAAGCTCTGATTTCCCAGTGGCTGGGGACAACCAGAAACATTTGGGGTGCACATCAGGTCAGGGAGGCAGCTGATGGGTAAGCCTTAATGCTGGGAGGCAGTTGTAAAGCTTTCTTATCTAAGCAACGTTATTCAGGGTAAGATAAGCAGAGATACGCTCAAGACAGAGTGGTGGAAGGTTAGCAGAGGTCTAAGATGAAGCACACAAATATTTACCTGGGTTTTTAACTGTTCTGAGACAGAGAGGAAGGCAGGTCAAATTCAGAGCCTCATATCTGTGACAGTGCTCTTTGTTGCAAATCTCTCTTACCTGTAGCAGCTGCGCACCCACCCTACCTGAAGCCTGAGTGGTAGGAATGGCTGGTTCCCAGTGTTTGCCTCCTGGAAGATCAATACACTTCTCTGAGGTCTATGGTTACCACCATGGAAACTGATAGCTAGCCTGTTTCTCCATAATAGTTAAGGAAAGAGAGCTGTCAGCTGTGTGTCTTGCCAGTGGTTACTCTGGTGATAGTATCAGAGGGATAGAGATCTCCTCAACTTAAAACAGCAGCGTGTCCTAATACTTTCTTCCTCTACCTTACTGACTACTTTGAGAGGAGTTTGGAAAAGGGTCTTTTTCTACTTGTGCAGTGGCTTCTCTTCTCCAATTCACGTAGCAGATACAATGGGACTTGTTCAAGGCATTGACCATACTGAGGGGTGGTTTGTTCTGGAAAGCAGTGTTTAACTCACAACCTCTAACTAACTGGTACTTAGATCAGACCTGATGATTACCCATACTGTGGCTAAAACATCGGTCAACATATTTTCCAGCACAGTGTGGTATACATGAAGCAGCAGAAGATGATCTTATTAGGTTTCAGCCTTTCTTAATACACTGTCTCAGCATGTCTTAGGCATTTGAGCAAAGTTGCTCAACATGCTGTTAACTACATGAGCGTGATCTGGAGACTCTCTTCTCCAGCTGCTGCAGAGGGATGTAACATAGAAGTTCAGCTTTTGCATGTAGTAATTATATCTGCATCCATGTTCCCTACAGGTACCTGCAGTGGCAAAGGCTGAGACATGAAGGGCACAAAACCCAGTGCAGATACAGTCATTTCATAAGACTTACAAGCACCTGAGATGAAGGACAGGTCTGCACATAGATCTAGTCCTTCTGGTGCGATCCTTGCTTGGGCCTGGTAGGTCTGGGACTCAGTTCTGTCCTTCACTGTAAATCTTGTGTAATCAAAGGCAAGTCATTTAGCTATTGAGCTTCAGTTCTGAATCTATAAAATGGGACTAATAACAATGTCATCTTCTTGAGGCACCACAAGGATAAATATGTTAACGATTACGAGGTGCTGGCTGATGGGAAGCAGGCTTGTGTGTAATCATATCCTGCACTGTACACACCAGACCATAAAACAGCAAACCCGTGGTTCGTTGCAAGGGTCCTGTGAATAACTGGTGCGTTAGAAGCTCCTCGGGAACTTGACAGAAACACTCTGTTGGGGCATGGCAAATTGTTCCAAATCTACTTTCCATAGGGAGCACTGCAGAACCCCAGGTTGTCAAATTTGCACCCAGCTGACATTAGGATGTTAAAGTCTGACACGGACTCTAATGGCTTTGTGCAGAAGAGGAATGTGCTGTTTATTTATCATAGATTTGCAGTCACCAACTGCTTTCCTAGTAGCTTTCTTCCCTTTCTTTTATACTAACCCTACCACCCACACATAATAATCTATCAGGGTTTAAAGCAGACAACCTCTTTTGCATTCAGCATCACAAAATAGTATTGGAAACACTCAAACTTTTGAGTATTTATTTGTATAAAATGTGGAGGATCCAGATTCCATACAGATTTCCCTGTCTTTGTGTAGTTACAGTTTTCAGCACTTATGCAAAAGCCTCACATTGTTTCGTTGCAGATAGGGCTTGATTCAGTGTTCTGGCTCCAGCAAAGCACATACTTACATGTTAAGCATGCATATTACCAGTTGTTCACTGTCCCAGAGTCCTAAAAAAAAAAGTTCCTTTGAGAAAAAGCTGGTTTCTGTCAAAACCCTGTTGGGCAGCTGTAGTACTTTGATTCATTAGTGTTATTACTGTAGACTGTGTAGCCCTTTTTCTCCTAAGGATATGAATAAAAGCACTCTTAATGCTTAAAACTGCATCGGACATCTGTTTCTCAAAATGACTGTTAGCTCAGTTCATAAGCAGCCATTAAATCAGTTCATATGCATTAAACAAAAGAACATGTAAATTAATCTTTGGAAACATGACTAATCATTTCGACCATAGGTAACGTAATACTCTTGATTACTGGTTGGGAAAATGAGGCACATATGAATACAAATGTACTTTACAGTGGCGCATTATTTATTTCGTAGGACCCATCAGCTTAGTAGGTGCTGCTCAGACAGAAATGCAAGGCTCCCAGTATCCTGAACCGTGCAGATTCACTCTTGTTGGATACGGCAAGCTGTTACCCACAGGGAACGTTTAGATGTCAGATTAAACACTGCTGCTGTTAAGACCTGAGTGGGCTGGAAGCTCCAGATGTCAAAGTTCAATGACACTTGTGGAATCTTGCTTCATTCGCTATTTAATTTCTTGATGTAATAAGTTCTGGGGCCGAGTCTTTAATTGTCCCTGGCAATTAGCTCTGTGCTGTCCTGTGAGGTAGGCGAGTAGTATCTCCACTTTATAGATGAGGACAGAAGAGTTAATTTGCCACAGTTGCAGTGAGAGCCAGGGTTGGGATAGGGGAATTCTTGACCTTTTCCACCCCTCAAGGGTCCCCTTGATCACGCAGCGTTGCTGAAAGTGATGTTTTTCTGCCCCTTGGCTGACTCAGACCGTTCTACTGCTCCTGTGAGCTGAGGCATGGAGTAGAAACCCTAGAGCTAGCACGCTGCATTACTGCATGTGTTGAGGCTAAAATTATCAGTAATTGCTACATTTCGTTGTGCCAGGATTTAAGTAATGCCCACGTGCATCCCCTGTGTCTGAAGGTGAGACTTGAGGGGTGGAAAAAGGTCTCCCAAGGCTGTGTTACTTTGACAAGGCTTTTCCAGCGTCTCTGCTGTTTATCGCTCTCCCTCCTCTCAAGAAGGATAAAGTGGTGTGGTTCAACCTGCCCGATTCCCGTATTTCCGTCTGGGATTTCCTAGATAACTGTGCATGCGCTGGTCCCCTCATACACAGCAGTCATTTGTCCAGGGACCCACAACGGATGCCCCAGAGATCTCAAATCCCATCTGCATTCAATTTCCAAGCAGAAAGACAGGGAAACCTGAACATATGGTAGCTCTGTGCCCATGTGCTAATTCCATCGAGCCCTGAACAATTTCCAGCTGTGCAGGGAAATGAAGGCAGGTTCCTGGCAAACAGAGCAGGGAACAACCCTCTGGCAGGTGGGGCTGGCAGGACTGTCCTGGCTGTGACCTTCTGGTGCACTGCACCCTGAGCATCTCAGGTTGTTGCCCTTCCCTTGTGTGAAGAGGGAGGAGTTGTGTCACTCCAGAAGTCCTCCTGGGATAACCCCAGACTGACGCAGTATGCCTGGTTTGGAGCGCATGAGTAACAGTGGCACCGCTTGCGGGACTGGAG